GTTGTAGCAAAGGCGAAGAGGAAAATGTCTTAACCTGATTCGGTTTATCCTCACCGAGGTCGAAAGGCACTCTTGGCGGTCCAGGCGTGCATGAGCTGGAGCACGAGGGCAGAGGATCAATCGGTGTTGGTGTCTTGTCGACTGGCGTGTCTACTACATTGCTGTTGGATGCTTGCAATTGCACGGTCGCATTTGGCAAACTATGGGACCGATTTATCATATATTTTCGTATATCCATTTTTATACTGCCTTATGGTAATCTATCTAGCCATCATTGATGAATCACGCAATTGTAAGAAGCTCCCTGATAGGCTAGCGTTACTAGGAGACAAATCTCCACCTACCACCAGTCTGACGGTCATGTCAGATTTTTGCCTGATATTTTTTTAGTGGTTATGGTATGATTAAAACTCGATTCAATTTAAAATGAGTAACATTTTGTTTCACATTGTACTGGTTTAATTACGTTTTTACGTTCTCTTCTGCCAGGCTTGGGAGGGGGGGCTTGTGATCACCCCCTTGACGCCGGGCCTGAGGACACCTCAAGTGTCCCATATACATCTGGCCCAGAGCTTTCCAGAAACAGACAAAGATGGACTTTTAATCTAGTTGTTGCTCTCGAGCAATGGTTTGACCTTTATGAATATTAAGAATGACCAATTTGTTTAGATGATTTTATTTCAGATGCATTTGTGATGATATTGTTTCACATCCTCATGAGCAGCTGCAGCATCAGTTCAGTCACTGTGACTCTGACTTATGGAGGTTTTTGTATGACTCTTTATCACTGTGTGAACACATATTTACTGTTGATGCTGTGTAAACTCTGACAGTAATAATGTCCAGCATCTTCAGTCTGGACTCCACTGATGGTCAGAGTGCAATCACTGCAATCAATATGCAAACACACTCCACATAATTTACCTGAAGACAGCAGATACACCATTTTGTCATTTTATTTATGAAGCAACAGCTTTGCTAATAATAGATGCTTATGTATTGTGTTATTTTGAGCCAAACTCAAAAACAATGATGAGCAATTTCATTAAGACTTATATTCTCAAAAATAGTTATCATGGATTGTAATAGTTGAGAACAGCTGTGTTTAGCAGTAAATGTGAACTGAAGCTCTTGGGGTTTGAACATGGTCTCTGGAGACGGAGCTGCTCTATTCTGAGACGATCAGAATCACTAAAGCTGCCAATGCAAATCTGATTTTCAGCTCAAACTCACAGTTTCACTGTTTGATCGGTTCAACGCTCTGAACTGAAACAGTTTCACTTCTGCTCACGAGAAATGAGTTATGAGTAATAAATTCATTTTCAGCTTGGGATGAAGGAGCTAATTGAGAGACTGCCCAAACTTGTTGGGATTTAGAGGGCCCCCAAAGTAAATGCAAATATGTCATTTCCATACCAAAAATACATATGTTACAGTCACCGTTATGCAGATTGATCATAAACACAGCTAAAAGACTTCCTACCAGTGGCCATCCATCACAAAATCTACCACAGTTTTATCGTCGTTAGAATGCAAAATGTTTCAATACAAGCATTTCAGTCAAATGTAATTTATGCAACCTTTAACCCACGGGAGCAAATCAAACCCTCCGCAACAGTTTAAAATCAACCCAATTCAGTGCAAAAAAAATGCAGATTTGGCAACTCTGCATCCAACATGAGCTGCATCCAAAGTGATTTAAATACTCTGCATATTGATAGCGGCTCTCTGATGTGCGAAAATTATATTTAATATTAGAATGTTTGCGGGAGCAGCCGGTAATGGCCAGAAATCCAGCAGGAGCGGCATTAATACAATAACACACACAATGAATGGCGACTGTAGAAAGCAAAAGCTTTTTTGTAGAAAGCAAAAGCCGAATCCGAATCGCCATTTTGGACGATTTAGAAATTCTGGCCGGACGCATTTTTTTAGGTCCAAAAAGAGGACATGTCTGGGGAAAAGAGGACGTATGGTCATCCTACTTAAAGTGATTTAAAGTGGCTTCACGCAAGTTGTAAGCATTAAATAAATTAGGGTAGAGTGGGGGAAAATGCCCCCCACTCCCCTACCGTTTATCCCAAACGTAAAGTGGGCAATGGGCAATTACTGTAGCTAGTTATTCTGTTCTGAACATCAAATCCTTTGTTTTTTTTTCATCAAATGTATTCTAACTAGTTGGTTGAATACAAATATTTGGACTTTATATTTAAAAAATTACCTAAAATTAGCATCAGGTAGCTAGTTAGCCAGTCAGTTAGCATAAGCTAACAAAAATGTTTCAAATAGGCTATTATAATTTTGTAATTCATAATTATTGATTATATTTTTTTAATTTTAAGATAAACTGCCTGTACTCTGATTTTGCTGTAAATGTTTAAAGCAAATTGCTTTGTCAGACTGGGGGGCATTTTACTCCACCTGTGGGGCAAAACGCCCCCTTGGTACAAATTTAATTTTTGTTAAAAATCTAATAACATGAAAACTCTGGACATTTTTTCATACTTGGTTTATAATTGATGTCATTGTCACTAAAACTATTATAACTTTTCTGAACACATTTAACTTTTGTTTCACAGAAATAAATTACACACTCCTTTCCCCCACTCTACCTTACTATATCGCTTGTAATGTCAAACTAACTAACTACTTGTAATGTTTGTGTCCAGGAGGAATTAGGGAAGTTGGGCAATGTGATGTAGGGACTATTTTATACCACTGTTTTTCTGAGAAGGTCTCTGGGGACAGTACAGTTTATTAACACCATACTGGAGCGTTAGGATCCACTCAGTCCCATATATGTCTGGCCCAGATTCTCCCAACAATAGACCAGCATGACTTGTCTTTTACACAGAAGTGTAGTCAAGACCATTCAAGAACCACACAGCAAAATCCTCCTGTTAAAAGTACTTCTCAGTGTTCATGTGTGTCCACAATACAGTGTTAAAGAAGCACTGAAGCAGAGTTGATTATCACCACTGTTGAGATTAGTGATGAAAGAGACATAGCTTTTCAAAAGTCAATTATTTTGCTAAATGTTTAAAAATGTTTGAAATGGCATGCTCTGGTGACATCTGCTGTTTGAAATGTTGTAAATGCAACATAAATGACTTTTACAAACCAACTGCAAGTGTTATATTAGTGATGTTATCTATTAATTGTGATTTTTTTTTAAATCATCTAATACTGTTAAATATAAAGTGTCTGTATAACTGACTTCCAGCCACAGCTTTAGATGAAATCAACTAAAAGAAGCCAATGAAAGAAGACATTAAATCTCGCAAGATCTCAGCAGTGGATGATTGAACAACTCTACAAACAGCACTACCAGCTTCAGATTGACTTTAGCTTTTTAACAGTAGGTGTTCATCACTGATCACTCAATTTATCATGTAATTAATGCATTAACTCAGAGGTCTTGACTATACCTCTGATTTCTCATCTTGCAGGATGCTGAATGCAAATAAGATGCACTAAAATGAGCTCTATGAAACCACATGTGATAAGATTATATGATTAAAGTTTCTGTTTGTATTACTGGTAATAGATTAAACTGAATGCTGAAAATAGAGTAAACTAAAAATGTATTGTTTAAGTACAATAAAACATCACCATAAAGTATTAGTACAAAAATCAACTCTCAATAATACTACAGCACATTTTTAACAGGGGTTTTAAACTACGTATTGAGACACATTTAGACACAACACTCAACAATGTTGACAATTGAACAAAATATTCAGATAAACAAATCAGCTCTGAACATCATAAATCAATTAAGCTACTAAAAAAACAACAGCAAAAAAAGCAAATAGTTAGAATTCAAGGAAATAAATGGACAATTCAGCTGATGCCACAATGCATGCTGGGAGTTATGTACCATGCTGAAACCCAGCATGCATTGCAGCATGAAGGTTGGGTAACACTTTATTTTGATAGTCCACTTTAGACATTCTACTAACAATAAGTAACATTGCAACTACATGTCAACTAGCAGTCATTAGAGTATTAGTAGACTGTCTGCTTAATATCTTCTAACACTCTATTTTGATGGATCAACAACATACAACATACTGACTATCAGAAACTTTGCAAATATATGTCAACTTATTCTACTAACCCTAAACCTACCCTAACAGTCTACTCTGAGAGTTAGTATTAGTTGACATGTAGTTAACATGTAGTTACAAAGTTGCTTATAGTTAGTAGAATGTCTAAAGTGGACTATCGAAATAAAGTGTAACCGAAGGTTGTTGCTGATAGTCACCATTGTTGAGAGTCATATGCTGATTGTTTATGTCTGTCTGTGTGTGTCTAAAGGATGCATAGGTTTAACATTAGTTTGAGTCTTATTTTGTGTAATAACTGTTTGCTGAATTGAACTAAATGCTTAAACAACAGTAGCAGATGTCTAATAATGCAAAGTGTAAATGTATCAAAAGTGCACGACACAAATAAGCAGTGATGAGACTGAAGATGAGAGCAGTGAAACAGGCCACTTCATGATTATATTACCATCAATAGTTACCATAAATCACCAGATGTCTCAGTTATCTGATCAAATTTTATCTTAACTTTTGCTGCTGCAAATTCATTTTATAAACACACTGCTATAGCAGCCAAAAACACAAAGAAAAAGTCAAGGGTCAAGAGCCCAACTTAAGACACTGATCAAATTTTAAAAATTACAGCTAAATCTACATTAATTCTCAGTTAGGCATACTGCTTAAAAACACTATAAAACATTTTCAAATGTTTCCACTGAGTCCAGTTATTTGCAAATGCAGGTTCAATGGAATTGTTGAGGGTTCCTATGCAAAGTGGCTCTGTGAATAGGTTATTGTTAGAGGCCAGACTGTAGAGCTCAGGATCAGATCAGGACCATCAGTGGACAGCAGAGTATTGAGGGCAGAGTGAGTATTTTACCTTCAGTTGATTTATCTGAAGAGTCTAGTTTGTCTGTTCATTGATGATGTTTTCATTACTCCACAAGGTCTTGACCTGACCTGAGACTGACAACCGGCGAATCAACAAAAACAGATGTGAGATGAATACACTGTGGCTGCCGCTTCTTCTGAGTAAGTTTGTAAACTGACAGAGGTTTATATGCTTCATGCTTTTGTGGAAACCATATTATACTACCATTCAAAAGTTTTCACAAAAAACAACAAATTAATACTTCTATTTGGCAAGGATGGATATGAAAACTGATCAATAAGTGCTGTTCTTTTAAACTTGCTATTCATCAGAGAACCCTGAAAAAAATAGTATCAAGGTTTCCACAAAAATATGAAGCAGCACAACTGTTTCAACATTGATAATAATCAGAAATTGAGCAGAAAATCAGCATTTTAGAATGATTTCTGAAGGATCATTTGACACTGAAGACTGGAGTAATGATGCTTAAAATTCAGTTTTGCAGCACAGGAATGAATTACATTTTAATATATATTACAATAGAAATCAGCTATTTTAAATCATAAGAATTTTTCACATTATTACTGTTTTTTACTATATGTTTTGATCAAATAAATTCAGCCTTGGTGACTTTCAAAAACATTAACACACCTTAAAGGGTTAGTTCACCCAAAAATGAAAATTAGCCCATTAATTACTCACCCTCAAGTCATCCTAGATGTATATGACTTTCTTCTTTCAGACGAATCCAGTCGGAGTTATATTAAAAATTCTCTTTGATCTTGCAAGCTGTTTAATGCCACTCAGCGGGTGTTGCATGCATCAGTCCAAAAGAAGTTAAATAAAAAGCGTCCATCCATAAAAAAAAATGTCTCACACGGCTCCAGGGGGTAAACAAAGGCCTTCTGTAGCGAATCAATGCGTTTTTGAAAGAAAAAAATCAATAATCAAAACGCAATAATCACTTTAATGTAGCTTGCGCCAACAGTTGTACACAGAAGCAGTTCCGGGCGGATGACGTATGAGGTCAGCGCTGCGCATGCGCCGGTGAGTCTTGTGAAAACCAACGTTTGTTAACAGGAGCAAAGGAAGCAAAGTTTCCTTCATTTAGCAAAGGAAAACCAGTCTCCTCTTGGCTTATATCGAAATCCTCTGACATTCTTCTTTACAAATCTTCGTTTTATACTTCGGAGTTATATTAAAAATTGTCTTTGATCTTTCAAGCTGTTTAATGCCACTCAGCGGGTGTTGCATGCATCAGTCCAAAAGAAGTTAAATAAAAAGCGTCCATCCATAAAAAAAAATGTCTCACACGGCTCCAGGGGGTAAACAAAGGCCTTCTGTAGCGAATCAATGCGTTTTTGAAAGAAAAAAATCAATAATCAAAACGCAATAATCACTTTAATGTAGCTTGCGCCAACGCTGAGTGCCATGAAACAGCTTGAAAGATCAAAGACAATTTTCTGACTGGATTCATCTGAAAGAAGAAAGTCATATACACCTAGGATGACTTGAGGGTGAGTAATTTATGGGCTAATTTTCATTTTTGGGTGAACTAACCCTTCAATTGTTCCAAACTTTGTACTGATAGTCTATGCATACCACTTTATTTGAGGGATATAAAATATTAATAGGATGTCTTGCATGTTTCTTAAAACGTTTATGAAGTTCCAAGTAAACATTTTCATTTACAGTCATGAGTGGACAACTGTGTAACTGTTCCTCTTTTATTCCACTCTCATATCGTTTGCATTTACATCCTCAAAAAACTTTTTGGAAAAACTCACCTGAGATTTGCATAACAAAGCATAAATAATGAGCAATATTCCATATATCTGCATTGATTTTTTACAGTAAGATCCATAAATAGTGAACCATTAACAGTTATGTAACCCAAAATGTGCTCTGATGCAACTGTATAATGCCAGTGCACCAAGACAACATACACTTTTATTGAAAATACAACCTATGAAGTATTTCTAGATATTTTAACATAATTTAACCCTCTGGTGCTCCTCTGTCATTTTATGTTTTGATTTTTAAAATGTTTTGTCAATGGAATGGTATTACAGTTTGTGACACTTGCTACGTGAACACACACACACACACACACACACACACACAAATGCAAACATGATTCAAAAAGGTTAAACAGTCCTTGAATTAAACATTGAGTTAAGCAAGAGTAACCATTTCAAGTCAAAATTCTTTCAAAATACAAAATATTTAATTTTTCCCTGCCGGCGTTTTTGATCATTTTCACAAAAATTTCAGAGCCAATGATCAAAACATTAAAACATAAACAGTAGATCAACCACTTCTATCCACTCCTTCTGGATCCAGAGATGCTGTACTATATCGGTACTATTAAAAGCGCCCCCTACTGTATAACAATGTAACCTCAGAAAGCCAGAAAAACGTGTTTGGTCAAGCTAGGTTAGGCAATTTCTAGTGTCGCCTAGTGCAGATGTCCCCAACCACCGGGTCGCGACCCACTACCGGGCCGTGGAAGGATTGCTACCGGGTCGCAAGAACGTTCTGGGAAAAATGTGTATAGATATGACACTCTGTTATTTATTTATGTTAATGATTTCTTACTCAAATTATCACATTTAGGCTCAGTCATATGGGCAGAGGAGCAGTATTTTCCTCAGTTACCCAATGCCACATGGGACGATGCCAGACTCTACTGTCAGTCCTGTTTCAAAGAACTGACGACCATGACCTGCAGTAACGTCCATCTCATTGTGAAGAACCTCTCTTCGGACTACTGGGTTGGACTCCGCAGGAGTTACAATGGCTCCTTCCCTTGGGCCGAATGGTCCAATGGGGATCCTGTTACATATCAGAATTGGTACCCTGGTCATCCTGTTCCAAATAAAGAAAATAAACTGATTCCTATATGTTCCTCAACTACAGAAAGTCCACTGAGCACCCTAATAACTACCACAACATCTACCCTAATGACCTCACTAGAAACCTCCACAGTAACTTCTGCTCCGGTAACCTCTCCAAAGACTTCCACAATATTTCAAACTGAAAAAGCAGAGGATACATGTCCTATACTGACTGATATCCTTGATTGCTTAAATATGACATGTTATGATCTTGAAAGTGCCATGACTATGTGTAATAGAACAACGACTGTCACCCCTAAGACCACAACATACAACACTGTCCCTGAGGTCACAACATTTAGCACCACTTTTAATGCTGCAACAAACGGCACCACAACAAACAGCACCACAACCGAAGGCACCACAACTGAGGGTCCCACAACCGAAGGCGCCACAACCGAGAGCACCACCACCAGCAACTGCATCTCTGAACCCGAGCCAGATCCTGAACAGTACATCGAGGATGCTTGTGTGGTCCTGCTCAGCTTCGGCATGTGGAAGGAAGAAGACTGCAATAAAAGTCTACCCTACATCTGTTATGAAGGTAAGGACTTTGTTTTAAAGCACAGCGTTGTATTGTTCGATTCATATTGTTGGAACTCTGACAAGCTTAAAAATAAGGTTCCACAAGGAGGTTTTCACAGCAAAGCCAAAAATCAAACTTGGTTGAGGGCTGTGGGCCAAAAGTAAATGTTGCATTTATCCAGTTCTTGTCAGGGTTCTGTCACTTCGGTCTAGTGTTCTTCATGGTTTTGTGACAGAGCCCTGTCACTCCCATCATGTCGTTGTTCATTTTCACAAAAATTTCAGAGCCAATGATCAAAACATTAAAACATAAACAGTAGATCAACCACTTCTATCCACTCCTTCTGGATCCAGAGATGCTGTACTATATCGGTACTATTAAAAGCGCCCCCTACTGTATAACAATGTAACCTCAGAAAGCCAGAAAAACGTGTTTGGTCAAGCTAGGTTAGGCAATTTCTAGTGTCGCCTAGTGCAGATGTCCCCAACCACCGGGTCGCGACCCACTACCGGGCCGTGGAAGGATTGCTACCGGGTCGCAAGAACGTTCTGGGAAAAATGTGTATAGATATGACACTCTGTTATTTATTTATGTTAATGATTGTTCTAATTATTCTGTATTTTCTTTGTATGCGATTGATATGGAGTAGCAATTTGACAATTTCATGTTAAATAAGTAAATGAAAGATTGCTCTGATCTTTCACATATTAGGAGTTAAACAGATCGCTGTTGATCCGTAATACGTACGGATGAGACCCTACCATTCGGCACGCACGTGATTGGCAGATTAATTTGCCAATTTACACAAACAAGCAATTTTAAACCACAAAAAGAAGAAATGAAAGAGAGCTCAATTCGTCACTCACGCTCTGTTCTCGCACACAATCAAAGCACGCACAACAGATAGCGCGGAAATACCGAGTTGCGTATATATACACATAAAATTAGCCTATGTCAAAAACCCTTCACGTCATGGTCATTCTCTGTGTTTTAAATATTTTTTTTCTTGCTTATCCAAAAAAAATAGTCCGATCTGTGACAAAAAAAAACACAATATAATGCGTTGAAGCACTATATAATGCTATTATAATACTATATAATAGCCTAATATATATATATA